GAAAAGGGCTGAAATTTAGCACAATTTTATTACAGTCAGAGTGGAAATTAAGGTGAAGGGAGAAAAAAAGTGTCCACAAGTGACAAAGTAAATGACATGGTCCATATAGCAAAAGGCAGAAGACGATGTCTGAAAATCCAAACAGAAACACAGAAATGTGAGAAACAGCAAACAATACAACTGAACGTACACACAAACTAAGGCTTCAGATGGGGGAAACACCACAGCTGAGGCAAAATAACAGGAGAAACTAATCAAGTACAAGACGGAGTAAACATTAATACCTGACACAGGGGATAATAGGAAACATGGGCTAGAAAGAAGACACAGGGAAACAGAAGACCAAACTACAGGTGAAACCCTCCCTCCCCCAAAAAGGACAACCTGTGCAAACACCCAAACCAGTCTTATTTACTGTGGTGACTTCCACAATCCAGCAGAGACCAAAGACGGATCTACACTTAAGTAGTAACTGCAGATCAGCTGATTGAGAAATGTAGACTGTATTGATATTGCACCTTAAAATCTGGAAGAAATAGAAATAAACCTTTTACTGTTTGGGAACACAAAACTGTAGACATAATCACCTCAAACTCCAGATATTAGCCCAAACGAGTCCATTTGTTTAGAGTGTATCTGTAGGGATAGAAATGAATTTTTACTGTACTCTACTATTAGACTATAAGTAAATAGAAATCAAACAAATGGACTGAGATATTACAGAGATCCCCATGTATAGTTTTGTCATGTTTGAAAAAAGTGACTCAAAACAAGTTAAGAAGGCCAACAGCACTTTAATTGTTTTTATTGTGAAATAACATTTGTACTTCCTTCTGTGCTTGTTGCAAAGGCGCACTGGACTGTGTTGTATGCAGTGTAAACCGTGACCTTTGCAAGGTAAAATATGCAAACTTTGACCTGTTCTTTTCAGAACTGTGCAAACAGGCTTATTCTGTGTCTTGTAAAAACTCCAAACATGTTCATTAGGGTTGCAACGATGCACAAAATTCACGGTTCGGTTCGATACTTTGGTGTCACGGTTTGATATTTTTTCCGATCCAAAAAAATGTTCATGCCTTTTTAATTTGTCATTTATTAAAATTATAAATATATATTTTAACTCAAAAGTACAGTTTTTAAATTTAATGTTGCTGAAACAACAAAGTAATAAAAAAAATCTATGATCGAGAAATCACTCATTGCACGAGGATGATGTCGGAGTAAATGTGCAGTCATATTCGTTGTGTTCCCACTAGTGCTGTCAGCGTAAATCTCGTTAAAATTACATTAACGCCATAACGCGGCAAATCTCCATCAACGAGTTACCGCGGATCGCCCCGTATGTGGGGCTGGACGGCGTCAACAAGCTAACTGCGCTAACGCACTAGTTCCCACCAATGTAATTGAGCATTGCGTGGCACATCCAACATGCTGTTTTACTTTAGTCCATGACGCGCTTATTTTCAGGGTCATACTTCAGATGAAGACCAAAATAGTTCCAAACGCCAGATCTGAATGAGGGTGGGGGAGGTTCAATTTGCCATGTTGCAACGAGCTTAGCTTCTGTCTTGCTAGCTTGCGCTGCGCTCAGTGGATCTGCGCTCGACAGTGCAGCCTAGGAGGAGTAGTCGAACGCAGATCCACTGAACTCTCAACACAGACAGCATCGTCAGAAGAAAAGTTGATAAAATAAATCAAAAATTTTGTATTGTTAGATACATATGCGTACCGAACCGAAAGCACTGTATCGAACGGTTCAATATCGATAGAGTATCGTTGCACCTCTAATGTTCATATCATATAAAGCTCATGTTACACTTGAGTATCATTTCTTTTCACTTAAAAAAAAAAATTAAGGACGGTAAGAAAACCTCTCTGTTGTAAACCCTTGTCACACTGTATATGCAACAAATCTGACTAACTTGAGAAAATATGTTGATTTGTTTATATTGTAACTATTTGAACACTTCTTATCGACTTTAAAAGGCAACTTTTTACGAGTGAATTAATTATAAGTTTCAGTCCAACTCACTGTAAATGAAAGAAGATTTTCAGTGGTTTGACTGTATTTTAGTATCACAACCAAACTTAATTGTCCCACTGTTTGGAATATTTAATAAGATGAGCTCACAGGTTTGAATCTGAAAACTTATTCACAGCTCTGCAGCTCATTAAGTGTAGATACTGCATATCTGGCACAAAAGCTGCATACAAACTGTAGTGCCAAAATTGCTAATATAAATTGCTAAAGTGTTTGATACTAATGTGGATTAATGTGTCCTGTCTTATTCCAGCTTCCATAGACAAAAGTAATTAAGATGAATCATCAGGTTTTCGAGAGCCTTTGTTTGCATTATTGCTACATTTCAGGATAAGGACACTGCTTCTCTTTGATTTTCATGAGCGTATGAAGCAATTTGCTGTGTGAATGTTATTGTTTAAGGCTAACTAGCTAGTAAAACAATATGCGTGATGTGTCATAGCAGTAACTGCTGCTCTGAAGAGCTAAACTCCCCACCACTAATGAATTCATTAATCTCTATATTTATCCCTGACAAGCAATTATCTCTTCTCACAGAATGAGGGTCAGGAGGCAAGTTTGAGAGTGCTCATATATTTATGAAGGAAACATTAAACAGGAGCCAGCAGCGGCTGTGCTCACACACCTGGTGTTTCTTTTATTTTGTTGTTCAGAGCAAGACTTTAATAAGCCTCTTTTCACACTGCATATAAACCCCATCATTAGCTGTTGGGGTCATTACTCAAGAACAGTAATGCATTTCACATACTTGTAAAGTAATGCAGTATGATACTTAATTACTCGCTGGGGAAATTCATTAAACTGAAATGCATTGTTACACAATTACCAGTTAACAGTCTGGATCAATGGGCTACAGTCCAACACACCAACACAAATCCCTGCGCTAATGAGGACATGCATGTGAAAAACACAGCAAAGGTGAAAACCAGGCCAGAGAGATTCTGAGTGATTCTAACATCATGATGGAGGCTACGGTCCTGACAGCTGCTTTGGTTAGCTGCTGATGATCAGGCTGCTGCAGTCGTGCATCATTCAGATTTATCATCACTTTGGTTTCTTGGCTAGTTTGGCCATGTCTGTGCCGTTTCTGGAAAAAAGTGCTGTTAGCAGCAGAGGTGGCAAAACTACAGACTTTCTTTACTGAAGTAGAAGGTTAAAAAAGTACTTCAGTAAAGTAGTGATGCAACTTTTTTACTTGAGTTACCAAATTGCAATAACATGTCTTAATGCTGCTACAAATAACAGTCATTACGCTGCTCTTGAAATGATCTACGCACTGACTGAGGTATGTGTGTGTGAATGCATGTGAGTGTTTGTTCACACTGTTGGATTATTCTTATTATTATTTGAATTTTATATTTTATGAATGATGCACCGATTGGA